ATGTGTATGAGTTTTCTGTACAGATTGTTTTTTTTTTTTTTTTACATATTTTCTTAGAATTCTTTCTGTCTATGTATCTTTTCAATAAATATTTGTTTATTTGATTATTTTACCATAGCTTTATAAATGGTGATTAACACAGTAGCTGTTTGATAATGGAGGTGGTACCCTCTATAAGTATAAAATCTAGTACATGCATTGAAATATTGTTGTTAAACTAACAGGTTTTTGAAATATGAAATCCTACTAAATGTAGCATATCAAAAGTGAGTCACTATCTCTTTCTTAGAAGGATTTATATAATGATGATGATTGCATTTGAAGTTATTGAGAACTTTTACCCCAAACTGTAATTTACGTTTAAAAGAAAATATATATATTTCCTCGGAGATGAAAGATTCTTGTCAAGTAGCAATAGAATATTATAGCTGCAAAAAAAAATATTTAGCCAATATAGCTTGATATATGAAATTGTTAAGAAATGAAAGCATATTTTGTTAAAATTCTATTTTACATGGAAGGATAAATGTTCTGATAGGAAGATTTGGAAGGAAAGAAAAAGTGCCATGGAATTGAAATACTCAAGGTGTAGCCGCCATAGGTTAACAACTTAGCAACTTTACCAACTCCCTTTGCTCAGCTGTCAGCATTACCAAGCGATATGATTGAGCACAAAGCCTGAAAGCTTCTGCTCACTTTTGCACTGTAGTTTATTTCATTCTGATGTCACAACCTACATATAGCACCTGTTAATATTTTGGGTTGTTATGTGCCATCACTCTTGACCACAAAACATTTTAAGCACTTAAAAGCCAGACCTTGTTCAACCTTTTCCACACTGCAATTATTGGTGTTGGTAAGGTTGAAATTAGAGGTGAAAAAAAAAGACCACGCTTAAAGTCAGCACTAACTGGCAGATGAGGCCCAGAGGCACATAGCTAAAGAGAACAGAGAAAAAAAAAGAAGGTTAATTACACTCATCAGAGTTCACACAATCATAAACCCCATACCCCCTGTAGTAAATGCAGTATAATTGTAATTCTTACACATTCAGCTGAAGGGGTGCTTGATGGTAAATACACACAAAAGCACTGTTATAATTAACCATAAACAAATGATAATACACAAGCAATTTTTCTGTGTAGTATTTTCTCCGTTTCTTTTGTCCTCATTAATGGTTAAGCCATTAGTATATAGTTTCTGATAGATGATAAAAACCATTTTGTGATTTTCACTTTTTGGAAAACAAAACTGGGGACTATAGAAAAAAGCATTTTAGCTCACGGGGAAGTGTGTAATGCTGGGTCTGGAATCAATGACTATGGCGTCGCTGAGATGCAGACTTCGCATAAAGACCAAAACAGTAAAACAGTGTGTGCACTCACATTAGCCATTGTACAGTGTGGTTGCTGTAATCAAGGCTGCACATCTTTATGGAATGATTCCGGCAGAAGAAAGTTTTGCCAGACACGATGGTGGCCCCTGGATCAAGCTCCTGATTTTCATGAGACAAACGGGAAAAGTCATTAGAAAGTTCTGGTGAATTTCCGAACAAAATCAAACCACCAACTTATGCTAACTTGACTCGTAAAAAAATAAAATAAATTGGAAAAACTGAAACAGAGGTTAAAGCACTTGGTTATTGGAGGATGAAAAACTATATTTTTGCACATGGATAAAAAGTTTTGCGTAAAATCCAAGAAAAAACGTACAACTCATGTGAACTTCTGTTATCACAAGCACCAATTTCTGCAGTCTAAGCCATAGATGGGTCAATGTGAGTTGCTTTTTCTAGCTAATCCATACTGGGCTAGGAGTGCAGCTGCGCTGTAGTTAGGTTGAACCTGACAGAAAGACCCTGGGTGATTTACTGCTAATGTTTTGATATTGCTTACATCTGATATGGTGGGGATATCTGGTTGTTATTAGGAATAGTTCACATTACATGCAGTCACCTCTCCACCTGCAGTCCCACGGGGCCTTAGGAGTAACCTTGTATTCTGCTGTGCACTCAAGTCAAAAGCAAATACATTACCAAACAGATTTATAGAGCTAGAACAAAGTTATATGGGTACATTAAGGACGATGAAGTATCATTTTACAGTTCAGACAACTAAGTTGAGTCAAGTATGAAAAACGTTTGTGTTTGATAAATCTATGCCTAGAAACAATTACTCCTTAAACTTGTATGAGCCTTATTTATGTTGAGAATGAAAAAAATATGAGTTTGCAAATATAAAATAGAAATAATTATCTATGGATGAACTTTTCCTTGAGAATAATCAAATTGTATTCTAGTCTACTTTGACTCCTGAATGGATATTTTTTCCTTTATTTATGAATAAATACCATCTATCCTAATTTAACTTTATTTTATTGTAAAGAATTAATAATATTATATATATAATTATTATATAATTTAATTCCTAAGGTTTTTCTTCGATTCCTGGTCTTTCTGCATGGAGTTTACATGTTCTCCATGAGCTTGCGTGGGTTCTCTCCAGATACTAAAAACTTCCTTCCACAATTCAAAAACGTGAAAGTAAAGGTTAATTAGCTTCTCTAAAGTCCCCTTAGGTGTGTTTGTGTGTCAATGGTTGTGTGTCTCTGTGTTGCCCTGCGAAAGTCTGGCGTCCTGTCCAGGTTGTACCCCGCCTCTTGCCTGTAGACGGCCAGAGATAGGTACCGGCCTCACCGCGACCCTAGACAAAGATTAAGCAGTAGAAAAAGGATGGATGCTTGATTCTCTTGTGTGAAAGCTGCTGTGCAAAGTATCCTTGATTACTTATTGGTAGTGGTAACACAAAAACTAATTTATATAGATTTGCATCTTTTAAATAATGAGGTGCAGGAATATCTATGAAGCCTTAGGTTAAGCCTTTGTTTAGAAAGTGCAACTGAAAGTAGTTTTGTTACTTTAGGAGTATCCTAATGTTTTATAGATGGAAATTAAAAAGGTTCTGAACAGGTTTTGATTAAATACACGTCTCTTTCATAAGGTGTAGACCCTGTGGCACATCGTTTTGTAGAGCAGCTTAGCATTTTGCACTTTTAAATAAGAGCTAAAGTTTGTGAATTTTAGGAAAACTTTTTGACAAGTCGTCTAGCACTTTTAATGACTCGCACATTCTTGACAATTTTCCAGCTTCTAGACCTGTCACCTCCTCTCGCCACCATTTCAGCATTCTTTCCAACACTGACCTTTCCACTTGCTCCTTTTCTTGTCCTGTCATTCATGACTGTGTCACATTTCAGTTTTATTTCTGTCCCATCTGTTTTTTTCTTAAAGTTTTTTATAGTATTTATTTGGATACATGGCCATTTTATTTAAACCTCAGGTAATACTAAAAAAAAAACTATATGCAGTACATTGTATTAAAGAAAAGTCTTGAATCGGTCAGAGGATAAATTCAGACAAACATCCAGGCGTTCACATTTATTCTACATCTATCTCATCTTGCGAAACAGGAGAGAGGGGGAGAATGCGACTGGGTGGAAATGTCAAACGGTCCACGGGAAAACCAATCAAAGACTGCCGGCCTTCAGTAAGAACCGCTACCATGGGCTTGCTGTGTGTAAAGCCCTTTTCTGTCTCAACAGAGGGCAAATTGTAAAGGGAGGTCAAATCTGGAGGAGCTGTGTTGTGTAAAACCGCTCAGTGATGTTCAGGATGGAAATTGAAAGTGTAAATTGCCCGAAGGGATCGTTTTTATGCTTAAGGAAGATGAGGAAGGCAACTTCCTGGAGGGCTAAGGTGCTCATATCACACTACGACTTTTCTGTATGCTTAGCATATAGAGCGCTGAGAAATACACAGTTGATAGAAGTTTTATTTTTTTGGGTTGATTTCTTTTCAACAGTTTAAAAGCACTTTTGATGTTTCAGCTTTCCTTTCACACTACCAGCACAGGCGCCATAACAGTGGACTGAACTTAAATGGCTCATAAATCACATATATGGCATTTAGCTTTAGAAGACTGAGAAAATGATTTTGTTTGTCCTTTATAGTGCCTATCAATTCTGTTATAAATGAAAGGGTCATCTGAAGGGATGTATAGCGGTTGGTTTGATCTCTACAGAATATTTACATCTGAAATGTTGGGCTTAATATTTTGAGGCAGTGAGTTAAAAATTTGAATGTAGCTGCCCTATTTTCCAGAGGCACAGCACTCACCCTTGTTCTTTTCCTCTGCCATGTCTCATGCCATTCCTTTTTGCTTCATTCTCCTTCCTCACACCTCTCTGCGCCTGATAACGAATGCAGGAATTCTCCCTCATATGTGTTTAGCAGTGCTCAGAGACCCGTGTCGGCCCGTGGTCCCTCAATTATTAATTTGATGTTGTGCGCTTGGCCGTTTGATCATTGCCGTATATCTGTGTGATTCAGATTTAACAAGTTCCCCAGGAGGCTGTGTTTCTTTTTTCTTCTTTTTTTTTATCCAGTTTGTTATCTTAAACCTACTTTAACCCAGACTTTTATAAAACTTTTGATGGACTGAGATGGATAATTTAACAGACATTTCTCAGTTGTTAAAAAAAGGCAGCGTATATTAAGTCAGCGGAGTTCAGCTACTGATAGTTTTGCACCATGTCCAGTAACAGAAACTGTTGGTTATCACCATAAAGGGGAAAACTCCCTTTCATGGGGTCATAACTTTAATGATCTTTTCCAAAGCCTTTCGTCTCCACCGACCATTGTCCTTTGTCTATTTCCTCGTGGAATGATATATATGTAGGCCTGTAATAATCACGACCTGGGCATTCCGATATAAATTTGAAAGTTGTAAAGCACTGCAGTTTGAGCAGTGGATTCAAATAAGTGGCGTAGAGTGAAAATTAGATACAGAGCCAGATAAGATGTGTGGATGCTAGCACACCAACTCGGTTGACATTTGGAAGTGAGTTCTTTGTGAAATGTAATTAAAGGAACTGAGTTAGCACCAGTGCTGCAGCATTTATCTTATGGCCTGTGGTAATGTATGTTTTTCTTTGCTCTCCAGCACCGCCGCGCTTCACTAAAGTTCCCGTTGACCAGATTGGTGTCTCAGGGGGCGTGGTCTCCTTTGTCTGCCAGGCAACAGGCGACCCCAAGCCGAAAGTTAGTTGGAACAAGAAAGGAAAGAAGGTGAACTCTCAGCGCATAGAGGTAAGTTTGTGGAATATGCTGTGCCTTTCTCCTTTTTGCAGGTGTGCTGGGCTGAATTAATATGAGGAGACAGAGTATTTGTTACTGCCATGTCATACAGCACTAAGCCAACAGATTACAACTCTAATTGCTTGCATGCAGGTCTTGTAAAGTAAATTAAAAAAATCTAACCTCATAACACATATCGGAATCAATCATTTTGATGCGTGATACTGGAGGACTACTTCTTCATGTTCATTTGGATTTACAGCAAACTGCATGAAAGAATGTACCTCTAAATCTCAATGTAGAAGTCACAAACATTGAACTTCTTCACATTTTTTATCTTTTTACAAACACAAATTACATTTATATTTTTAGTACTTTATGCAATAGACCAGCAGTAATTATTGTATTAATGAATGGTGCAAAGGTAATGTTGGCTCTGGATGTAGAGGTTTGTCCTCCATCTGGTGGGTTTCCGGTTTTAGCCCCGACGCTGCACAAATGGCAGCAAAAATGTATTGATTGGGCATTACAGAAATATGATCTTAATGGATGAATAGCAAGATTAAGCTGAAGTTGGAAAAAATAAAACTTAGTAGTTGGATGAGTTTTGCCTAAAGCCATGTAGGGAACACAGTAAACATACATTTTCTCTTGTTTATCAGAACATTATAGTGGGTTTTGGTATGTTGTTACCACTGCAATTCACCCTGAACACACAAACTCCATCATGATACATGATGGAAACTAGAAAGCTAGTTTTCTTAAGAGACGGGGAAGCTGGTCAGATTTGATCAAAGAATGAGTTAAGGTAATTAAAAGGTAAAACTGTTCAAGACTTGAGATTAGAGGGAGCTTCAGATTTCACCTTCCAGCATAGTTTATTCATGTTAGGAGCTATTGATTGAAATTATGAGCAATGCAGGTAGAGAGATAACTCAAAACACTTCCAGATGCAACTGCAAGAAAAACTGTGCTGCAAAGAGGTGGCTCAGAGGGGAGGGATTTTTTTATTTGCACATTATTTTAACTTTGATTATATTTATGTGCTATTTTGTGTTGAAAAATACATGTAGAAGGTAGTTTGTGGTTGTAGTATGAAATTAAATGAGAAAATGTCAAGATCTATGAATATTTTGTAAATTTTTATAACAGTTTTGACTTTGAGCTTTCTTGTTTATTGCCAGTAGTTTTCTTTCATTTTTAATATAATATAAGCTTTTTCGATTTTTTATTTTTATTTTTAGCTTTCCTACAGTATCAAGATTTTTGCAAACTGATGCAGACCACTGTCATCACACCTTTCAGGGATTCACTTCTTTAACCTTTAAACATTAACACATCCATCATTAGCTACAGCTGCACAGTAATGAAATGCAGAGCATCCCCCTTCCTTTTTGCACTTGACTGACTCTGTTATTGTCACATTTTTCCGTAGCTCTTTTTTTTTTTCTTTTCCTGGAAGCAGCCCTGTCTGCATGATTATGCCTGTGCGTTATTCATGATGTTTGTTATTCACTTCTCGGCAGGCATCCCAGATGGCATCTCTAAAAGTCTTGACTGATGCTCAATGTCTCTTAATTAAAAAGTTGCTTTATTTAACAATGACAACAGTGACAGCACTCAGATCAATGTGCACACTCGAACCCGCACAAATCAACTGGCATCATGAGGGAAACCATGGGGGAGGGCGCGAAAAAGGAGACCCCCCCCCAGCAGAGAGCAGCAACCACAGGAAGACCAGAATCCCAACTGAAGACAAAATAAAAAGTCTTATTTTGTGCTTGCTCCTCCTCTGCATGCTATGTGGTAAACAAAGCCAAGGGGGCGAAGGATTCGAGCCAAACGGACGCTTCATTTAGTCGGACAAGAAAAAAATGTTTTAAAGTGGGTTTTGAAGTGGTAGTTTTATTTTTGTTCTTATCTCTTCTGCCCTCTAGACAGCTGCTTTGATATTGATCATGTTGCCATGCTCGGCAGTGTTTTTAGCCTAATTAGCGGCTCAGGCTAGGGATGTGCTTCACAGGAACAGCAGAGCTGCTGAAGACTCCTGTTTGTGTCTCAAAGTCACACACTGCTCCGACAGCCGAGCAATAAAGCCTTGGTTGAAATCGTATAAGCTTCCATTTAGGAGGCTGACCCTTAAACTGCAGCATTTGCTGAGGCTGACCAGTCTATCCAAATGGAGACCAAATAATTATGTTTCAACAGCTAGAAACATTTTTTCTCCAGAACTGTCACCATTAAAATTTTACTTTTGTACCTATTGGTCTATTGATAAATGGTGAGATTAGGCATGGAAAAGGATATTTAAATCAAATGATGGCCAGATTCTCTAAATGCAATATTGATACTGTCCCTCACAAATATAATAAATTATTTAAACAAATAATAAGCTTCTGTTTGTAGCGACCACAATCCTAATCCATGAGATATCTGTCTTTGCTGTTCTGAGTTCTTTCAACAAAACCAAGCAAAAGGAAAAAAAGAACAAAGCAAAAAAAGCATGATTAAAGATTTTAGCAAGATCAAAACAAAAAGCACGAACTGTGGAGGAAAACTGTTTTTTTAATGATTCTCTTCTTTCAGAAGAATATACCAAAAATGTGGGGCATGTGTTTACATTTATCGATCACAGCGGTACCATCTTCATACTTGTGTCCAGTTGACCGTTTCAATAAAATGTATTAATCCTGTTATGATAACAATGACAAGCTAAAAACCATATACTGTGTATGTTATCATTACAGCTCAGTTCTGATAACGCTTATATACTGTGTTTATATTTCAATATCCTGATTTAGTGGATCAATGTTTTATTCTATTAAGCGGTATAGTTCCACGACTTACTGGAATGGCTTTCCTAAAATAGCAGATCATATAAAAGTAAGCAAAGCAAAGTAATTTATTCTAGACTAGAAGATGACACTATATTCCTAGATAGTTTATATTCACATAGAAGTCCCTCGAGCTCCATGTAACCAATGGTTACTACCTTTTTCTGGTGATCTGCTTTACAACAAAGTTAGAATCTTTTGGTATTTGGATTGAAATTGCAAACAAAAGCAATAAAACTTTTTGTCTTTGTGCTTCATTTCACAGACCATTGAATTTGACGAGGGTGCTGGCGCTGTGCTCAGAATCCAACCTCTTCGAGCGCCACGTGATGAGAACATTTACGAATGTGTAGCCGAGAACAGCGCAGGAGAGATCACCGTCAATGCCAAGCTCTCCATCATCAGAGGTAAATCTTCCACCCCCCCAAAACAAATACAAAGGCAAAGAAAAGGATATCTTTGCATGAGGTTTATCCATCGGGTTTTAAAATATCATGAGGCATTTATGGCGGGAATTTTCATCTCCAAATGGTTTTGAAGCTTTTCAGTCACTGGACCTTGTTTAGAGTGAAAGAAAGAAAGTTAATTAGAGAGGCAAAAAAAAGGAACCCAGAGCAGGATTTACAGAAAGTAAGTAGTTTTCTTTTTTTTATAAAAAAAAAAAAAAACCTTCCTAAAATGTATGTATTTCTCCATTTAATTTTGTCTGGGTTTTTCTAGTAAAATTTCAATTTTCAAAACTTTGACTTCATACATTCAAACGATGTCAGATCTGTGGTTAAAATACCCGATTTACCTGAACCATGATAATATTTTTAACAACTGGGGAATTTGCTACTGCACTGTCTTGGAAATTTTAAAGAATGTTTGTTAATTACAGAATTTTTTGATTGTACTAATCAGTTGTCATTCATGCAATAGCTGAAACTCTCATTAGCAGCGCTTAGATTCTGGTGTTGAATTTGATTGATTGGGCATCCAGTCATACTACAGCAGCTGACAGATGTGCCTGGGCATCCCAAAGAAAAAAAAAAAAGAGTATCCACAGATAAAGCAGCTGTACCATAACAGTAGGATATGATAAAAAGAGCTATTTGAGATTGAGCATGGATATAATATATCTAAAGGTGTTCTGAGATTATCTACGGTGAGCAAACGTGCTGCCTCGTACCAGACTGTGTCTTTTTCATTCCACCTTTGTTTAACTGATTTCACTACATAGACCCGCATGGTACAGATGTCTCTTTTTTTCCTTTTTTCTACTCTCCTGCCACCTGCCTTGATTCCTGGGCTCAATTAAGCTGAGCTAATGCTGCCTGGCTGGCAGCACAAACACTGTGTCTTTCTAGATGTCAGATCCCCCCACCCTGCTGTGGGCAGCATTTTACTGTTAGGAATATAGCGCCACCTTCCCCAAAATCGCTCAGGTGCATATATGCAGTTATTATTTCAATAACTTTGATGGGACTAAGCTATTTAACCATTTTCTGCCCCCTTTAAAGCTACTTGTATGATAATTACCTTAGAAGAGCTATGCCTCCCACATTTGTTTTCTTTTCTATCCAAACCCCCTGGAGACATTTGACTAATGTCTCAACCATTTGTAAATGTGAGACAAGCAGATGACAAAGCGCATAATGTAAAATACAGAGCAAAGGTTAAAGACACCACAATCAGGATTTTCACTGATATCCTATTTTTGCATTTTGTAGATGTTTCATTTTCACACCTTCACACCGCTCCTCAAAATTATATATAGATGTTTCATTGAAACGGCTATTAGCATCTTGTTTTAACATTTAACATTGGCTGAAACAACTAATCGGATGAATCGATTATTGTAATTATTGTCAACTAATTTAGTATTAGATTTTTTTCTGATTGAAGTGTAGAGACTCTAAAATGTGCCTTTAGAGGACAGAGCGACCCATCTTGAGCAACAATTTTAACAAAATTGCAAAGAAAATATATAAACTTTTCCTCAGTCAATATGCTCTATCCAGAACTCCTCAAGTGGAAAAGTTTTAGTTTCACCTTGTTTAACTTGATAAAAAAAAATCATCTTTAAGGAACCTTTTGCTATCAGATTATTAATCTATTAATCGACAGATTAATCGATTTGCAAAATAATGGTTAGTTGCAGCCCTACATTTAGCAGCTTGCTTCACTACCAGCAGTATTTGGAGCCATCAGTAGTCTTTAATGTGATGTTTCTAAAAGGCAACTGTAATTTAAAAATCTTGCAGGTTCTCTGATACATCGATGCTAAAAGCTTTGAAAGGATAGAAAAAAAGCACCTCTGCCCTACTCTGCATTTCCTACTTGTCATTTGCTAAAATAATTGCCTTTTTTAATAGCAACATGCCAAACCTGTTGTTCATAGTTGAAAGGTGTTGTTGATGGCATCACCTTCAGGTAGTTTAAATAATGCTGTTAAGTATTATGAAAAATATTCAAATTTTCCAATTTGCAGCGGATTAGAAACAAATTAAAATAATCTGATACAGGTCACTATATGATAGGTTGGTATTTTCACACCAAAGCTCAATTTTGTTCGCTCCAACCTGGAAAATCCATAGACAGGCAAAAATACTCCTCAGCAGCGAACATTCAATGTGGAATTTAGATTATATACCTTGGCACTGGTACACTAGGGTCTTCAGAAGGAGTACAGAACAAATCCACAGCTTTCCACACAAGCAGATGACAAATGTGAACTTATTAAAATCAACCCCAGAGCCTAAAGGAAGAAAGCGGGTCTCCTGTGCAGTCGAGACAGAGCACTGAAAAGGAAGGAGGTAAGTGTGTTGATGGAGGAGAATTTGACAGATAAATGTCTATGGAGGATAACAGAAAGGCCCTGTTTTCTATCTTTAACTAGGCCCAAAGCTCCTAAATTAACCATTTAATATCAGGAAGGAACCAAGGAAGACTACGTTTGTAATGAAACGTCTGTCAAGAAAATGCAGGAATGGAGATTGTTGGCGGAAAGTAAAGAAGACGGGGGAAAAAAAGAGTGACTGCACAGCAGAAAACACAGGGATTTAAAATTCCAGAACAGTTGGCTCAAGATGAAATGAAATGACAAAAGGTGATTTGTATGATTGGCGGCGGAGAACAGGTGAGGAGGACAATAGCTGAACATGAGTTCTTGGAACATGGCAAAGGATTACAGGATATAGGACAAGGCACAAGGGAAAGATTTCCAGTAAACAGAGGGGATGTGGTTTGGGATTTAGACGGGCAGAAAATGGGTCGCCACGATGGGTGACTTGGCTGGAGAGCCATGGCACACATATGGGAGAGGGCTCAGCTGCATCCACATTTGACCACAAATTTGATTGCATTATAAAATTCAAATGCGCAGCAGCATTTTGATCAGCTATGCATTAGAACCATTATTAGTGTAGTAGTTATAGAGATGCATGAGTTCCACAGAGCATAGCTGATTATTCACCTAAGCAAGACTATTTTTCTCAGACAATCAAAATGTATGAAACACATGCTTTTATACTTACAATGGGAAAGGGTGTCTGACAGTACATTTATTATGCATTAAGTCTGGTTTATACACAAACATGCATAAAAAAGCACTTTATAGCAGTTTTATTATAGAGGGAACGGATTAACTTTGACAAAATGCAGGATCTTGTAAGGATTTGAAATGAAATTAATAACAGTCTAGTGAGGACTTGTAAAGATATGCACACAAGTACCAGAGATACAATGATGCATTCTAACTACATGCTTGCGTAAAACTACAACTCAATAATGTCTGTCTATAAAAAGCAAAACTGTAAAGCCTTATTAAGCCTATTTGGTACGTTTTCTGAGTGTGTTCACATATTTTGATAGCAATGGCGGGTGTCTTTGACTGTGACACCTACTTGGCTTTTACCTCACCGCTACAGCTGAATACCTAAGATGGGGGCCATCTGGCTCCACTAAGACTTTAACAGAGTCCTCTGTGAGTCCTTGGAGGGGGACATACAGGCGTATGAGATGCACTCTGGAGATGACATGACTTGTTGTTGGTTTTTGTTGTTGAGTTTTTCTTGTTTGTTTGCTTGTTTGTTTTTTTTTTTTATTTCAAGTTGCCTTTATTCCCACTATGTTTTACAGTGTCATAATAAAGGCTAACCCACCATTGGAGGACTGTCAGCTCCCTATGTTTTGGGATGACAAGGAGTTATCCTTCCCTTGAGTAATTCCCTGTTGACTCTGCTGTAGTTTTACTAAGTAAATTGGAGCTGAAATTGGATTCTTCTTAAAAAATCTTAGGAACTTTGATTAAATCTTTTTTTTTTTTTTCATCTTTAAAATATAGTTTTTTTTATTCCATCCTTGTGTTTGTGTTGCCCCAAAACAGATCCCAGCCTGCCAGAGCAGCTCTTGAGGCAGAAGTTATTGAGTCTGTTAAATTAAAGCACTGTGTGGAAGCTATTGAAGTCTCTGCTTCGTTCTGTATGACCCAGAGGGCACCAGAAACTCTCTTCACTTCATATACACAAACATTCAAGCTCATATCCGCTTTATTTTCTCCTGCCACTCCCAGTCAGGTGGAACCAATCAAACGTATCCCTCTCTGATTCTCAGCATCAAACACCTTCCACACCTCTAGCTCTTTCTTCACTTTAAACTACGTCGGCCGCCTGGTTTTTATCCCTTTGTTGTTTATACTTGTTTTATCAGTTTTGTTATTTATTTTCACCTTAAATCACCCGCTGATCATGTTTTAGGCCTAAGGAATCTTTTCTTTTTTTAGAGTATATCTAAACTTCTAATCAGCAACATATTTAAAAGTTACCACCAAATAGCTTTAATTTGTACTGGCCTGATTAATTTTTTTCTTAAGCTATTAGAAAGTTCTGTTGACATTAATCATCATTGTTGGTTAAAGATTGAGAACTATTTCATATATATTTTTAGCCTTATGCTTTTGTATATGCTTTATTTTTTTCTTGCTTTTTCTTCTTATTATATTGATTTTTATTGGAGTTGTGTTAAAAGCTTAATGTTTGCTTTAAACTATGTTTGTCCAACTCTAAGATTAAGTGAAAAATGTAACTCAAATGGGAAAAAAAATGCGTATAGGTGAGATTTTGAGCTGTAGTGATGCCAACTATGTCGGACTGGTTTGCTTTTAAGGTGTATATGTCTTAACTGTATATGACCGAGAGATGAAGACAAAGAAAGGGGGGGAAAAATGAGAGAGGGAGACCAAGAGGAGGCCAGCAGGCAGGCACTGGCCAGCTGGTAATGAGACAGTGAAGAATAAGCTTGGCAGTATCAGCACCAGATCTGTCTGCTCTTCCTGTCTGCCTGCATCTGAAATGGCCTTTGCCCCCTTCCACTTGTCTCCAACTGTTAGAGAAAGAGCAAATATGACAGACTGCAAAAGTTAGGC